GGACTTGTATCGCTGAAGTTCCTCGGAAAGAATTTCTACCGGAAATTATCAAACAAGCAGATAAGTAACAATAGATTTGGGATTACAAAACAGTGTGTAGAAAGTACTTGTGGGATAACAGGTCCACCTGTGACCTATGGCTACAATGCCACTAACCTGATGTTAGTAGAACATGTGTATTTTGCTCAATCTTTGAACTTCGATTTAGAGAGCCCTAATGTGACTACTCTGAGGTAAATCTGGGAGCTGAAAAATACCAAAGAGTAGAGAGAAAGGTGATTTTGTAGGTCTATGACTATGATATCATAGTTTCGGAGTTGTTGTGGTAACCCTGAGAGGGTGAGTAACCATGAATCATCATTTTAGTATAAATGGCATTTTCACAGGATAAAAGATATATGAGCTGGAAGAGACTGAGTTAAGACCTGAAACAGGGTAGGCCAGATCTGGGGAAAGCCATCTCCTAGCCCCCTGACTTTCATCATTGCTGCAAAGGTACCTGACAGCCACCACACTGCAACTGTGATCCTGGGAAAGAAAACAAATGCTGTCTGGTGCATCCAAAAGGATGGATGAAGTATAACTCTCACTACTTTAGAGAATAATGGCGTCTATACTTAAATGGCTGAGATGGAAATGATGCATGGTATATATAGAAGACATCTGGCTATTTTACGAAACTTTCAAGTCTAATATTAGGAACCTGCCCATGTTTTATGGCAGGTAAGAACTGTACAATTAAAGTTGAAACCCGGGAAGTGTACACTCATGTGCACATTATTAGGTTTTCTTGGTTATATTGTGTGTAAAGAAAGGTGTCTTGACTGATCCTACAAAAATCTCGGCAGTTTCAGACTGGCTTAGCCCACGATGAGATGGAAAGTTTCAACTTTCCGTGAGTTCACTTCATATTACCAACATTTTATGACGAATTTTTCCAACACAAAATGAATCAATTACTGAGTTAACAACCACAGGGCAATCTTTGAATGAGAATACGCGAATTTTATCAAGGTGTTAAAACCTCGAGTTATGGTGTTAACTGTGGTTACTGGCCTGCCACACATTATTCGAAGAAACACCAGCACTGTTGGTTGGGCATGAGGATGTTTCATTTTTCACACTGAGACATTCAGCAGGTAATGGAATACAGATGGATTACAGTAACTGATAGGCACACACACACCATTCTTACCAGACAACATAGTTTGATTTGTGTTTTTTAAATGTTAGCTGGCAACATTTCAATCAGGTAGATCTATAATGTAAGTAAGGGTGGTGAAATTATGTAAGAAAGTATAATTCCTAAAGTATATCCCACAATATAATAAATGAAAAGTTAGTGTACCCAATGTTTTCTTGAATTATGTGAAACATTTATCTATGACACAGACTGAAATATTTACAATAAACAGAGATTTCTAAACATATTTCTAATATTTTTACTACAAGGCCAATTAGAATGCATGAAAATGTAGATTGCACATATGATGTTGGAGGTGAGATGTAAAAGTTATCTTTATGCAAGATGTAGCTATTCTTTGTGCTGAGCTTGGAGTTGAAGAAAGCCACATAAGAGAGAAGGGAGAGATGTTAATGAATTTCGATGGTTTGATAAACCAGGTTAGCAACCACATGGTGTTTGATCTGTATTAGTCACTGGTGTGAGCACTCTCACCACCTTTATTTTTTACCATTCCTCAGCTCTGTTATAACAACCAGACAATAGTAGAAAGAATGCAGCAGGGGTGCAGGCTTGTTCTGGACTATTGTCACACCCATGATGATCTCAAAGTAAAGCTGAGGTTTAGGACAAGCTTGAGACCAAAGAATGCCTGGGTCAACTGTTGTGTTTGTTCATAGCTAGTAGAGATCATATTCTATAAGCAAGTTAAGTGTGAGCACACATAAGCCTATAGACATGAAGTTTGACCACAGGCTTTTGCCATTTAACAATTTGTCCTAATAAGTTTCCAAGATGAAACGGTTTTGTAATAATGACATTATGACTTTAACCAAACTCTTGACTGAGTATTTTTGACCAGTCGAAGTTCTTTTGACCCTGTATTTAAAATCCGGACTTTTCTTAGCTAAGCTTCAGTTCTTAAGGTTTCTAACTATCATCTTTTTTCAACCTGTCAGTGGGAACGACCTGTATTCTCTATTGCACAAACTTACTCTGATCACTGCCTATAATGGAAGAAGCTAATGGTAAGTCAGTTTGATTTATCAGAGGTTTCAAGTTTCTGGCATTATCTAACACACCTGGGGTTAGCATTACTTTGATGTAATAAGAGCCTATGAATGAAAATGCACTGCTGTACAATATAAGACAAAAAAACAGTAAAATCGAAGATAGCCGAAATTTTGATAACAGATTATAAAATAACTATTGGGAATTTTGATCAAACGATATCCATTTTGAGAGTCGTACATCGAGGGCATCTTTGTATTGAAATATGAGCAAAAACTATTTTTTTCAAAATTTCGCCTAAACCATTTGGCTTTACGGTGAAAATATGAATTTATTTGGAAAATTTACAAAAATACTTTTTTGACGCAAATATAACAGAAAAAAAAAACCGGATGGTGCTTATTTCGTAAGAAAACTCAAAATTCAGATATTATACCATTAACGAAAAGTATTATGTCCCACGAAAAGCTAGAAAAAAATTGAACTTTCGCTAACCCAGAGCAAAAACAACTCAAAAGGTGGAGTTTATTATATAAGAAGACGTCATGGCCTTTTAGATGTTGGGATATTGTTTGAACAATATCATTTTTAAAGCTATTCTTTGTGTACAATATAACTCAAGACAAAAAACAGTAAAATCGAAGCTAGCCGAAATTTTGATAACAGATTATAAAATAACTATTGGGAATTTTGATCAAACGATGTCCATTTTGAAAGTCGTACATGGAGGGCATCTTTGTATTGAAATATGAGCAAAAACAATTTTTTTCAAAATTTCGCCAAAACCATGGCCTTGGCTTTTCGGTGAAAATATGAATTTTTTTGGAAAATTTAAAAAAATACTTTTTTGACGCAAATATAACAGAAAA